TGATTTCTGCCTGGGATCTTCTTTGTGCCTGGGCTGAGCATCTCCAACCTTTGAGCTTTATAGCTCTCCTGGGTGTCCAGGTCCCTCCTGGGTGTCCAGGTCCCTCCTGGGTGTCCAGATCCCTCCTCACTTCATCTGTTTCTGGTCCAGGCTCCATCACTCCTTGCCCAGAATCTCAGCAGAGAATGGACAAGGAGTGTGCTCAGGGCTGAGCTCCTGCACTAGGTACAGGAGGAGGAGAATTTCTGGCCTTGTTTGCCTTCCCTGTGTGGCTGGAACCACTCCCTTAACCCTTTATTTAATAATCCTCTACTTTAAATTTACCCTCTGGTTGTTGCCTGTGTGTGTGAATTGAGGAAAAGGATTAAGAGGAATATTGATGCAGGGAAAAGTTGTTGGAACCTGTGCTGGGAAGGTTGTGGCTACAGGGATAGCATTCTTAGAGGGATGCTAAGGCTGGGAAAGGGAATATTTAAAAAAAAAACTAACACTGAAGACAATTCTGAGCCTCCTAAGCCTCTCTGCGTGTTGGGATGGAGTTGGTTCACTCTGGGCTGTGCTCACACTGTCCATGCTGAGCTCTATCCTACAGTGACCAGAGAGGATTGAAAACAATCTGGTTTCAGGGCAGCAGCTTGGAGACAAATCCTCAATCCCATTACTTGTTCCCTGGTACCAGGGATGTTAGCAGAGCCTCTGAGGCTGCTGCCCAAAGGGCATCACCCTCCTGGATCAACCTGTGTGTGTGGAGCTCCAGCTGCTCCTGCTGTGTGTCAGCTCTTCCCTTCCATGGGTATAAACATCCCTTTCACTCCTCCAGCTCTTTCCATATGGAAAGAGAGATTTCTGTCCCTATAAAGCCACTTTTATCCCAGGATATTCATGTTGGAGGCCTCACAGCATGTAAACAAGTTGAGATTCCCTTGTGGATCACTGAGCCCTGTGGGATGGGGATGTGGATTTGAGTTTTGTGGTTCACATGGATAAATTTGGGAGCAGCCAGACACACTTGGTTCTGCTCCAAGTTGGTGTTCTTGGGCCCTGTGGCCACAGAAACCCCCACACCAACCTCTGTGGTGGGGAAAGGACTTAGCTTTGGCCTTTTGAGGACAAAGACAGCCAAGCAAGGAAAATTCCAGCAGCTCTCCTGCCCTGCCTCCCTCAGCAAGGAAAGGGGGAAGGAGAGGAATAAACACTTTCTCAGTATTGTGTGATGAAAGGCTTTTGTCTGGGAGGCATGTTCTGAAGTGCTGAGGAGGAGATGCAAACTCTGCCCAAGTTTTGTCTGCTGAGGCTGTTCCCTCTGTAACAAATTGTTGAGCAACAAGTACAAGGCATATTCAGATCTTGGCTGAGATAGGGACAGACTCACAAAGGCACTCTCTGATGTTCAAGGCTTCCTTTTGTGCTTGGGGTTTGGAACTTTTTTTTTTTTTTGATTTTTTTTATTCCTTCTCTCACATCCAACTGCTGCTTCCCTTCTCCCTCCATTCCCAAGGAAGACAAGCCCATGATGAATTTTTTTATTCCTTCTCTGACATTCAACTGCTGCTTCCCTTCTCCCACCATTCCCAAGGAAGACAAGCCCATGATCCCAGCACAAACCCATTTCTGCTCCCTTTGCTGCTCTCTCACCTTTCCTCCTCCTCCTCTCTTGTCTCTAAATCCCTTCCTAGATGTCTCATGTTTTCTGTGCATTTTGTTTTGCTTCCAGCTTGACTTCTTTGTGTCTTCAAATCCTTTTCCAGCCTGAAGAAAACTGGACATTATCAATGCTTTTCTCCTGATTTCCCC